CAGAGGCCCACAAGAACAGCAAGGATGGCTGGCTGGTGTGGACGGGCACCCGGGAGCACCTTGTGTCCAGTGGATTCAACCAGGTAGGGCTCCTCCCAGATGGGCGGGGTACCCACACCAAGAGGGTAGGAGTGAAGCCCAGGGGGAGGTTGGGGACGGCTAGCCAGCTCTAGGCTTGTCCATATACGGCCCTGTGTGCAGCTGGGTCTCAGAGCCCCAGGGGACCTCCAGCTGCTGAAAACTGGCAGATTCCATTTGCAATAGCTAAGCCTGACCCTGGGAACCGTGGCAGCCCCCCCCCAAGGGACCAGAGTCCATGGAGGGAACCGCCCCTTGTCCCTTGTCACCTAAGGGTTCTTAAAGGGGCCGGACATGCAAACCCAAACCCTCCCTCCCTGCCATGACTCACCCCCCACCGCCACCCTCCAAGCTCTGCTCTGGGGCAGGTGCCCCTGTGTCAAGGCTGTTTCCTCAGGCATTGGGTTCCCGGGGATGGGCCCCTCTGAGCCCCTCTTGGCTCCCTCCCTGCAGATGCGTGAGCGTGAAGTGAAGCTCTGGGACACCCGGCACTTCTCCAGCGCCCTCACCTCTATCACCCTGGACACCTCACCCGGGTAGGAGCAGCTGGCATGTTGGGATGGATCGGTGGGGAGGGTCAAGGGCTAGATGGTGTCCTAAGTCCAGGTCTGTAATGGACACCATTGGGGAGGGTTCCAAATGTGCCCTGGCAAGGCCCCCTGCGGAGTGGAGGGGCCCAGTCCAGCTGGAACAGGCCTCACCTGGTTCAGGTCTTGTCAGTGAGGGGCTGAGCACCAAAGCGGTCACGGTGCCTGAGCTGGGCTGTGGGGTCGCCTGTTGACCCCATCTCACGTGGACCCTAGCCACAGAGTGGGCCCTTGGCCGTGCAGGCCTCAGCCTGAGGGCTCATGTCGGCGTGTTTTGGCATTTGGGGGAAGGACTGTGACCCGGCAGACACATGGGTGGGAAACATGGACATGCCCTTGATTTTGCTGTGGCTGTTTTGGTGATGCCGAGGGTCGAAGAGACCAAAGTTTTGATAGGGTGGACGTGGTGGGGAGGTGGGGGGGACATTCGGGCTGGCAGGCTTGCAGGCTTTATGGAAGCTCCTTAGCCCGGGCCACACGCCTGTCTCTGGTGGTTTTGGGGGGTGAGTGAGGGGGTGGGTGCGCCTGGGTGGCTTGGGACTGCAAGTGCGCCTCATCTTTCCATCCTCGTGGCAGTGTGTGCAGGAGGTTTGTGGGGTGCCGTGGGTCCAGGCCAAGCCAGTTCCATGCACGGGGGCCTAGGCTCACTGTGGCTTAGGCACAGGAGGCGCTCAGAGATGATTGCCTGTCACAGTGAGGAAACAAGGCGTAGGAGAGTGGGGGACCAGTCTGGCTGGGGTAGGAGGAGGCAGGGGCCCGGTTCCCTTTCAGAAGCCTCAGCCCTGCTCTCCCATGACTCTTGGAGGGGCTTGCTGCTCCCCAGGCAGAGATCTGTGAAGGTCAGAGCCAGGAGAAGGTCTTGGTCCCTTGGCTATCTATCCAGCCCCTTCCTCTTCCACTCATGACTGGGGAGACTGAGTCACAGAAGGGGGTGGTGACCTGTCCAAGCTCCAGGTGTGGCATGGACGTGTTTGGGAGCGGGGAAGTCTCATGCCATAAGAACTCTTGCCAAGTCACCCCCCACCTGAGAGCTCCCAGGGAAGGGGTAACCGCGGCAGTGACCCTCCACTCCCACCCCCCTCTTAAAACCCAGGAAGAGGCTGGGGAGCTGGTGAGGCCCATTTTGCAGATGGGGAAGGCAAGGCTGAGTGAGATCCAGTGCCTTGGAACCACACAGTGCAAGGCCTCTTCCTACTCTGGGCCCTGGGGTCCTGGTGACTGCCCCCCTGCGCTGGAAGAATAAGAGCACCCAGGCCCTGAGGCTGCATTGGTATCTTAGCCCCCATGCCTCCCCGGGCCAGATATCTCCTTCCCTACAGGGCTCCCCAGCAGGAGGGAGCTGGACCAGCCAGGAAAAGGGACCCAGCACTAGCCATCAAGTCCTCCTCCACCCACCACTTCCTGCCTTCTAGGCTCCACCCCTGGCTCCTGATGGGTCCCCCTCCCCCGCAGAGCAGCCCCCGCCCCTCCCCAGCATTGCCCCTGGAGGAGTTAACGATGCCCAGACCCCACGGTGCCACTGGCCAAGGCTGACCCTGTAATTACAGCGGTTAAGAATAGCTTCGCAGGGCCAGCAAGGCCTGGAATTTCTCAAATCACTCCCAGATGGGTGGCCAGGCCAGTGTCCCGCCCCCTCCTTCCCCCCACTCCTGGCCCCTGCCCTGCCAGGCCACACCCTTGGCAGAGGAGTGGGGACTCTCCGGCCCTCCGTGAAGCTGGTGGACCAGGGTAGTGGTGGCATATGCCCTGCCCCCTCAGGCTCCCTGGAGGGTTAGGCCTGCTGAGTGACTGGGACTGAAGATGTCCAGGGTGTCAAATGTGGGGATAGCCGTGGATTTCCAGTATACCCGCCCTCCTCTCTCCCACTCTCAGTTTCTTTTACAGCTTTTCCATCTCAATCTGAGCAAAGCAGTGTGTGTTCTTATAGGAGCTAGAGGGGGCCAGGGCTCAGGCACTCACCTCTCCCGGTCATCTCCTAGGAAGAGCCCAGGGCCCCCCCGCCTCCCAGGGGCCCCTGTCACAGCCCCCACCATCACGTGTGGAGCATACCTCATCAAGAGTAGGGGAAGAGCAGGACATCAGGGGCCTATGTGTGAAGCCAAGCTCAAGCAGCAGGTCCCTCAGATGTGCCAGGGGCTGTGTTCAGTGCAGGGTGAAGGTGGGAAGGTAGGCAGCATGGCCTGGCACTGAAGGAGCAGCTCACATTGTAGACTGGGAGATGTAAAAATGCCGCCTGCCTCAGTCCAGTGCTTCTGGATGGTGGAGTGGTCAGCTGTACCCATCGTCAGCCACAGGCAGGTGGGGATGTCTCTCCTTCGGTTACTTCAGAGGCAGCGGAGGCCAGAGAAGTTGATCCTCTGTTGAGAACACCCCAGCAGCCAGGCTGTGCAGGGTGGAGGCTGGGGTTCAGTTTCTGCTGCTTCCCACTGCGGAGCTTCTGCTGTTCACAGTGGCCCTGCCCCTCTCCTGGACGCCCACGTGGCTGGCCACCCCATCCTGGGCCAGGGAGCCCGTGTTGGGATCCTATCCCCGCCTGTGGGGAGCAAGCTGCCAGCTCACCTCTCCCAGGCTGTGGTTCTCTTCTGGAGAGGATTTGCTGGGCATTAGTGGGAGCGTGTGTAGCCCTTATGGCACAGGGCCTGTGGCAGCAAAAACCCAGCAGTCAGAATTGGCGTTTCCCTACATCTGTCCCTGGACCCTGCCCCAGAGCCTTGGGCATTGTCCTGGGTAAGGGTTGGTTCTTGGCTTGGTCTCCCACTCTGCCCCTGCCCCCGCCCCACCCCTTCATCCCCTAGCTCCTGATCTGCTGGTATACCCCAAATCCCTTTTTTGGGAGGGCTGGAGTAAGCGTTTAGCCCCTTTCTTTAGGTCCCGCCCCCCCCCCCCCCCCCCCGCCTCCCCGCCATCCCACTAGGCCAGGTTTGGCTTTGCAGTGAAAACATTTATTCAGCAGCCACGCTGTGTTCAGCAGCGGCCCGTGGGCCCACAATGGCCCCTTTGACAGGGCTGCCGAGGGGGAGGGCAGGCCTCGCCATACTGCTCCCCTAATGGGACCCAGGCTCACAGGAAATCCACCTGGGCTGCCGCCGCTGCCTCAGGAAGAAGGGGCCCCACCCAGGCTCACTGCCACCATCCTCTGCTGCCCGACACGACCCACCGCCCACCTCCTCCCTTCCCATGCCAGAACCCTCAGCAGCCACTAATTGAATCCAGAGCCTCGCGTGGCTGGGCCTGACTCGGCGCTGACATCAACGCCCTGAGCCACAGGGCCTGCTCCCCAGACCTGACTGGGCTGCGTCCTTCCAGCCAGGGTGAGGCTGGTGAGGCCCAGGGGCCATGACCCACAGAGGAGACACAGGCACGGGGCTTCGGGGAGGCTCGGTCAGCAGTCACAGCACCTCTCTGAGGCTTCAGGGCCCACTTTGCCTCCTGTCCCACGGTCATGGGAGAAGGTGCTGTGTATCCGTCCCTGTTCCCAAGCTTCCAGCACCCAGTCTGGGCCAGAACTGCACTCTACATCCTTGGCCCTGCCCCCACACAGCCTGCGGCTTTCCTGGAAAACACTCCCACTTCCGGGGTTTCTGGAAAGCCTGGGCACATCCCAAATGCAGAGAGTAAAGGGGCATCACAGGGCTACCAGGCCTTCACAAGCCAGGCTCAGACCTTTTGTCCTGTCCCTGGGCCACCTGCCCCAAACAGCCCTGGCTGGGTCCCTTCACAATCACCAGAGGATTCCTGACTTTCAGGATCCATGCTGCCCCTCCAAGCTGCCTTTCTGCAGCTGGAACAGGAGGCCGGGAGCAAGCTTTCCCAGCCCGAGCCCATGTGGAAGGGCATCAGGACTGCAGGCAGGGCTGGGCTGTGTGTTGTGCCAGGCCCCGGACACAGGCTCCTGCTGCAGTAGGCGCACTCCCTCCTCAGAGGAAGGTAGGCGGTGAACTGCCTGTCAGGCCCTTCCCTGAGGAGGAGCCCTTGCAGACCCTCTCGGTCTTTCGGTCTTTATCTGCTACGAGCCCTCCCCAGCTTCACAGGGGCAGTACAGTTCCTGCTGGCTGACCACTGGGCCTGGGCAAGGTAAGGCTGCCCTCATGTTCCTCTTCTTCAAGGTTAGGAGCTGCCCAGCTCCCGTCTGGCTCCGGCCTGCATCCCAGTCTCAACAAGAGACTGAATCAGGCACCCCAGCTGAGGCTGGGCAGACACAGCCCAGGGCAGGATCCTGGGAGGGCAGGCCACCCTGGCATAGTCCTCAGCGGCAGCCCTCCCACCCTGGGGGTTCTGGCCTCCTGCTTACCTCCACACCCACCCAGGTACCCTGGGCCATGCCAGAGAAACACACTCATTTCATCTTTTATTTTTTTACAAAAGGCCTTCATATCATTGTTTGTCTTACAAAAACCAAAGTCCTTGTCTCTGAGTTTGAAAAACATTTTCCCAGAATAAGTGGGAAAGAATCTCTTATAAATATATTTTTAAAAACCAAAGCAAAACATGTTCCTAAGCGTCTGTCTTTCCAGTTTCTTTTGTTCCTTTGCTCCTTGGGGCCGAGGCTGGGCCACATGCCCCATCCCCAGCCTTTCTCTCCCTCTGCTGTCTTTCTGGGGGCTTCCTTCACTGGCCCCCAGGATCTCCTGGGAGGGGGGCCTGGCAGCCCTGGGCCTGTGTTACCAGCACACGGCAGGGCCCACCCCACCCTTCCCCAGGGAAGGTGCATGTTGCAGAGAACCGGGCAGATGCCGTCCTCGTAGGCACTCAGGCATAGCGCCACCTTAGAGGTGGTCACCTGCGTCCCAGGATCTCACAGATGAGGAGACTGAGGGGCAGGATCTTGCTGTGGTCACACAGCCCTCACCTTGATGTGTCCTCTTTGTAGGGATCCGAGAACTTCCTTGGTCTGGCAGCAGGAGGGTGCTGGCGGGTCCAGCAGGGCTGAGAGCCTGGCCTGGCAGCCTGTCGCTTCGGGGCTTAGATGTAGGGCTTAGTGGGGAGGGGCCCCTGGGGGCTGGCCCCCGGGTAGCCCATGAGAGGCACCTCACACTCTGGCCCACTGGGTGGAGCTTCCCCACCGCCCTCAGTCGCCTTGGGGCCTGGCTCCAAGGGGGCCTTCACCCCCTCCAGCTCCAGGGGCCCAGTCCCTGGCCCCACCTGTCCTTTGCCGTGAGTGGCAGCCGCTGCCGTCCGTCCCCGCCGCACACAGTAGGCTGCCCCCACGGCAGCCAGTGCGGCCAGGAGCACTGCAGCCAGGGCGGGAGCGATGAGGAGCGGCAGGTTGCCCTCCCGGGCCTGGGTGACAGGGGCATGGTTGGAGCGGACGGCTGGGGGTGTGCGGGCCTCCCCACAGGCCTCTTCGCCCTCGGGCACCCGCCCGGCCCCCAGAAGCCTGACGCAGATGGAGTAGGTGGCGTTGGGCCGCAGCTGGGTGACTGTGTACTCAGCAAGCGAAGCAGGCAGCCGCAGCGTCACCGGCCGCTTGTCGGGGCCTGACAGGTTACGGTAAGTGAGGCGGAGGCTCCTGAGCTGCGCAGTGCTGCCCTGCAGGTAGCGCTGCAGCCCCACGCGCAGGGAGGTGGGGCTCGCTGGCTCGATGCCAAGGGGAAGGGGCTGTGGCGGCTCCGGTGTGGCCAAGGCGGGGCTGGGCTGGGGCCCCTGCCTCACCCGGCTCTCGCAGTAGAGGCCCGTGAAGAGCTCAGGGCACAGGCACTCCAGGTGGCCGTGCACTCCCAGGTGACAGGTGCCCCCGTTGAGGCAGATGGACGCTGGGCAGTCCTGGGGCCTCGGGGGAGCTCCCAGAGTGGGTGGGGCGGCAGGTGGCAGGCTGGGGGCCTCCGTGGCAGGCTGTGTGGGGCTGAGCCAGGTGGGAGCTGGACTGGAAGGTGAGAGAGTTGGCCCCCAAGCCATGGGCTTTGTGGTGGGTGCCGTGGCCGTGGTGGTGGTGGCTGGGCAGCCAAAGTCAGCATATTCAAGGTCTAGGAGCAGCCGGCCAGCGTTCTTGGGTGGGAAGTGGCAGCGTGTCTCCTCCGGGCTGGCCAGTGCCACGCGGCTCTCCCGCACCCAAGGGCCAAACCAGCTCAGGGGACACACGCAGTTGAAGGGGTTGCGGGCGGCCGCCAGGAGCCGCAGGCGGGGGAAGAGGGTAGAGAGCTCATGTGGGAGCGCCTGCAGGCTCAGGTTGCTCAGGTCCAGCTCTTGCAGGGCCACCAGGCCGGCCAGGCTCTCGGGCCGCAGCTGGGCAATGCGGGTGTTACCGGCCAGCCGCAGGCGCGTCAGCCCCCGGAGGCCCCGGATGGCCGGCGGGACTCGCTCCAGCTGGTTGTCGGACACATCCAGGTCGTGGAGGTTGCGTAAGCGGCCAAAGAGCCCCTCGTCCAGCCGCCGCAGTCCCAGGCCGGCCAGCCTCAGTGCCTCCACGTTGGCAGTGTCCAAGGTGCCAGGCTCCAGGGCCGGGAGGCTGTTGTGACTGAGGTCGAGCAGCAGCAGGCGCGGCAGGTGCAACGGGGGCAGGGCCCGCAGCTCGTTGTCCTGCAGCTTGAGCTCCAGGAGGCTGTCTAGTGTGTCAAAGGCTCCGGGCTGGATGTGGCGGATGCGGTTCTTGCCCAGGTAGAGGCGCTCTAGGCGCCGCAGGCCGCGGAAGGTCTCGTTGGTGATCTCGCGCAGCCTGTTGGCAGTCAGGTCCAGGTTGCTGAGGTTGGCGAGTGGTTGGAAGACCCCGCCGGGCAGGCTGGCGAGCTGGTTCTGTGACAGGTCTAGGAGCTGCAGCCCTGGCAGGCTGGCAAAGCTGCCTGCATCGAGTGTGGTGATGCCGTTCTCGAAGACGTAAAGGCTTGCCGTGTCAGGGGGCACGTCCCGGGGCACTGTGGTTCCCTGGCGGGCGGCACAGAAGACCGTCTGCGGCTGGTTGCACTGGCAGCCTGTCGGGCAGCACTGCACTCCGGGGACTGGGGCCAGCAGCAGCAGCAGCAGTGGCGGCAGCATTGGGGGCAGAGGGATTCTGGGGTACATCTTCTGGGTCCTGGGAGCAGAGAAGTGGTAGAGACAGGAGACCATGAGTCAGGGACCCAGGGGAGAGCCACGCCAGGAAGGACCAAGAAGGGAATTCCCAGCCCCCTTCGTCACTCCCTGCCCCCAAATCTGACAGCACACAGTAGTTATGAGTCAGGTCCCCAGTGCCCCGGCCTCGTTCCTGCCCCGGCCCCATCAGTCTCTCACTGAGTGACTTCGAGCAGTCACATGACTTCGTTAGGCTATCAGTTGCTACTTCCTGCGCTGTCACCAGGGTTTAGTGGGCTGATGTGCGCACAGGGAGGCTGGCCCCCAAACACTCAGTGATCATGAAAATCCCCTTCTCCTTAACCCCAGCCCTCTTGCCTCTGCGGCTCAGGGAGAACACGTGGTCAGAAAGCATCAGGCTCTGTGCCCTCCCTGCAGTTCCAGCCCCACCCCTCCTCCCCCCCTCGCCTCTGCTGAGGTGGACAGGCCAGGAGGGAGCGTGGTGGGTCCTAGAGCGGCAGCCCCTCCCCACAGCGTCTGGGAGAGAAGGGGCGGGCAGCCAGCGCGTAAGCAGAGAAGCTGACTGCCCCGCGCCGCTGGCCCCTGCCGCCACGCTCTGCGTCCTCCAAGTGAGAGAGACTGCGGCGGGAAGACTTCACACGGAAACTATGGGATCGGTGTTTTTCCACTTATGAAGTCAGACCTGCCCCATATGGGAGCTGAGGGCCCGCCAGGACTTGGCCAGGGTGGGGGACGCTCCTAGGGGAGGGGGCAGAGGAGGGCCTAAGCCCTTGGCAGGTGTCCCCTGATCTTCAGATCTCTCATCTCTGAGGTGTGATGACAGATCTAGAGGTGGGGGTCCTGGCCTCCCCAGACTGACCCGGGGCGGATGGAGGGACACTGGTTGCGGGGTGGCCCCAGAAGCAGGGCTGGGCCTAGAAACATTCTGCAGATTGGTTTGTCTGCTGTTTCTTGGGGTGTGCTCTGGCCAGAGCACTGAGAATGAGGAGCGGCAGGCAGCTCTTCCCCTTGTTGGCACACTGAGCATTTATGGTCCCCTCGCGTGGCACCCCCAGCAGCCACAGCAGGTGGAAACTATTCTCATTGCTCCCAGATGGCAGGAGAGAGGGGGGCTCCAGGAGGTGCAGTGATTTGCCATCCCACTGCCGGGAAATCTGAGCCGGAGCCCAGGTCCTTAACCACGTCCAGGTGCAGCTAGGCCTGCAGTCCATGATGGTCCTGCCCTCCTGATGTGGGGCCCAGTCCTGCCCGGGGCGGGGTGGGGGGGGGGGGTGCTCCCTCTGCTGTTCTGGGCCCCAGCTCGTAGTTGGAACTGCTCAAGACAGAATGGGGCCACAGCACGGGCCCCCCTTCACTCAGGCTCCTGTGAGGAGCCCAGGGGCCACCCTAGCAGCAGTCCCCACTGTCTGGGCCCCTAGAGTCCCTGAGAGGCCAGCACTCCTCCCCTCCAGGCTCCTTCTGCTCACACAAGGGCCTTTTGTGCTGGGCCTCAGCCTCCCCTTCCCCCATGCCTGCCAGCCATCAGGCCATGGCAGGTAACGTGCCCCCCACCCCAATCCAGCCTGTGTTCTGCCCCGCTGCCCTCCGTCGGGCTCCTCCCCCAGGAACATGGGCTCCAGCAATGTGAGGCAGAAGAGGGGGGGCAGGTGGTCCCAGGACAGACTAGACAAGTGACTGGGGAGACCAGCTCTAGGTAAAGGCCTGCTGCCCAGGTTGGGCCCGCCTAGGCCCGGCCTGCCTGCAGGGTCCCCTGTGCCAGGGAAGAGGGGCCATCGGCCTCTGCCCCCCTAGTTAACACCGATGACCACCTTTCACAGGCTAGCCAGGAAGGCCTTCCTCAACCTCCAGCTGGTGCCCCTTCCCTGGCTGTCTAAGGTCCTGGCTCTACCATCCCCACCCCGAGGGGAGGCCCTGCCTGCTCCCGTGTGTCCCAGAGCATGCCTAGCTCACCTTTGCCAAGTGAGTGCTGGGGCAGGGCCTCGTGCTGAACCTCAGATGACGCTTGGACCAGAACCTGGAAGGCTTTGTGCCCCTGCTGGCCCTGCCGGCACCGTCCCGAGGGGGCTGCGTGCACCGCACCCAGCCTCCTCCCCGGAGTGGACCCGTTCCACCCTCACTGACTCAGAAGGCAGTGGGTGTGGCCTGGCCTCCAGATGTGGGCTGTGTGCGACCCCCACCCCCCACATCCACGTGTGGGGTGAGCCGCTTCCCCCTGAATCAGCCCTCCCCGTGGGGCCGGCAGGGTCAGGAAGGGAGCAGCCAGGCTCCAGGATGGGAGGGGACCCTACACGTGGCCACCCCTGTGGCTTCAGCTCCCTCTGGGTTTTGTATAAGGTCGTAGTTAAGAGCTCATGCTCCAGTCAGGCAACCTGGGCCAGGGGCATCCCAGCCATGAGGCCATAGACTGCGTTTTTCTCTCAGAGCCTCTGTTTCTCCGCTGTCTGCCCAGGCGTTTCAGGCAGCACCTCCTACGACTGGAAGCGCTTAAACACAGAGCAGCCGGGCGTGGCCCCTGGGGGCCTGGGGTGCATGCTGGAGGGTGTTCCCCAGTCTACACGGAGGAGGCATCAGCCTGGGCTCTGGGCTTCACTCCAGAGTCTGTTGGCCCTTTAATCAATAAAGTCATCACGGGGGAGGGAGGCAGAGACGCTTGCTGTAGGTCCGTCTAGCCATAGAGCGGCAATCTGGCCGAGTTGGTGGGGAGCAGGGGCTGGGTCACAAGAGCAATCGGCATCTTGGGCTGGGAAGACCCCAGCAGGCAGCAGCTAGGATGTAGAGCCCTGCTCCACCTGCCCAGTGAGGAGTCAGCATGGGGGCTTTGGGAAATGGGAAGGTGGGTGCTGGTGGCTCTGGGGGCTCCGCCGTGGGCTGTCCTGGCACCAAGAGGAGACCACAGAGTCCCCAGAGACCACAGAGACCCAGAAGGTGAAGACTGACCATGGAGGGGGTGGGCAGTAGAGCTACAGGAGATAGAGACCTGAGTGTAGGCCCAAGTTCAGCCCCTAAGTAGCTTCCCAAGTCCCTGTTCACTTCTGGGCCTCATTTTCACCCCAGCCCTGCCTCACTCTCTGGAGTTGTTCTGAGCACCCAGAGTTGTAGTTGTGTGTTGTTCTGTTTGTTTTTAAATGGGGAAGTTCTTTTAACAAGTTCTGGGAGTGATTCTGCCTGTCTGGGCTCGTTCTGGTGTGTGTGTGCTTTGGGGGTGGGGTCTCTCATGGGAGGTCACGGCTTTCCTGGCCATTACAATTCCAGCAGCTCTGAAGGACCAGGGGCCTGGGCTTTGATATCTGATCTGCTGACCCAAGGCAGGGAGGTAGGACCTTTCCCTCTGCAGAGGGTGAGGGGAGACTTTTGGAGGCAGCCCTGAGGCTTTGGGGGGTGGGGTGGGAGGAGGGCAAAGGGTCCAGGTCTCTTCTCTTAAACCTGGACTCTGCAGACTTGCCTTGACCTGGCCCCACCGTGGTGTGATGGAAAGAGGCAGGAAACAGAGGCCCAGGCTCTTGCTGCTGGCCTTGCTGCCCTCCAAGGGACAGTTGCTGGGATGGGGCTTTAAGGTCCCACTGTCCGCAGTCCCAGCCTGGCTGTATGAGAGCCTGGCCATGGCCCTTTACTTCCCTTCCCATCTGTGAAGGCGGGGAGTTGGGAGGGGTCCTGGTTATAGCGCCTCATTGTCAGGGCTGTTTAGTTTGTTCTTGGAGCGCATGCTAAGTGCTCAGTAAACATTTGTTATTGAAGGTGTTACCCATAAAACCTGAGCCCTGCCTTCTGCACATACAGGGTGAGGATGCCATGGTGTGAGGGGGGTTTTGTGCCACTTTCAGCACAGACAGGAGGTCCCTTGGGTCCAGGGGAGGCTTCCATGCAGAGGCTGCCCTCTGTCCTCCACCCTTGGGTGTGGGAGAGTAGGAATTGGAGAAAGCCGACTGATGAGGGGTGTATTTAGTTCTGGCAGTGGGTGGGGGAATGAGGTGACCTTTGGCCAGCCCCCCTTCAGCCTATGACCTGGAGGTGGGGAAAGGGAGCAGAGGGAGGAGCTCTCAAAGGGATCCTGGTGCCCCCACCCACCTGTGAGTGTAGGGGACACCTGGAGGCACCCACTCACACACAGGCACTGGGTCAGGCAGGGACTGGTGAGTGGGTGGAACCCAGGCATTTGTGTGACCACATCAGACCTTAGGCTGCTCATCTCACTGCTCCTGGGGAAGGCCACAAGGGTGGTGAGGGAATAGGGTTGGACAGATGAACAGATGAGGCCAGCACAGCCCCTTCCTGTGCCAGACACTGCAGAGTGGGCGCAGGGGTCAGGTGCTGCAGGTCTGACCCTGAGACCCTGAGACTCTGGGCCTCTGACTCCCAGTGCTTCCCGCCCCCCGCGCCCCCCCCGGCCGCCCCAAGCTAAGTACTGCTGGCCAGGCCTGGCAGCAGCCCAGCCCAGGAGTCTGCCAACCCCCCAGGCAGGCGGGGACCATGCCGGCGGCCAGGACGGCTGGCTCCGGTTTCGCTGACGTGTCTGAGGAGGCTCAGAGCCTGGGCTGGGTCCGCCTATCTCCCCATCCCTGGGGCACAGCAAAGCCGAGAGGTCAGAATCTCTGTCCTAGGCCCTCAGGGGAAGGGGCTGAGGTGGGGCTGGGGGCCTTAGTCAGACCCTGTGATGAAGCTGGGAGTCCGTACTAGTCTCCGCCTCTCTGCCTTACTCTGTGTACCTCCCCAGCCAGCTCTGCTCATTCTACAGATGAGGCCCAGACACCACTTCATGACCCCATCCAGTTTCCTTCCCTTTCTGGGTTTCTGATTCCCACCTATAACCCAGAGGTTTCTCAATCCCAGCTGCACATGAGAATCATCTGGGAAGCTTTGGAAAGTTCCTGATGCCCTCTGCCACCACCACTACCACCCCTACCCCTAACCTGGGGCAATTAAATGAGAACTTCTGGGATAAGGCCCCAGCAGAGTTGTGTAGGAGAGGCTCCTTGGGTGAGTCGCCCCTACAGACATTGGGCAGAAGGTTGCAAAGGGGGACAGTCTGGATGTCAGTCTTCTCTCCCTGTCTGGGGAGGGGTGTGGACCCCCAACAAATGTGGCAGGTGTGGCTGGCTGGCTGGCAGCGCTAGAAGAGCAGGAGCTGGGCCCTCCTCCCCACTGCCCCCACTCCTCCAAGGCAGGAGCTGCCTGGCCCCAAGTGGCTGCCTTCTTTGGCACCATGGATGACTTGGCAGCTACCAGACCTGTCAGCCCAGGGCTGGGAGACCAGTGACTAAAGCCATTCTGCTCAAGTGGGCCCTCAGGGCGGCGAGATATGTCATTTCAGTCAGGAGAGGTGCCACTCTGTTGGAGACGACACCTGCTGCCCCAGAAGCTATTTGGTGGCTGCAGCCCAACTAGAAATGGGCCAGTCCAGATGCTACCATCCGCACACACAGGTGTGATGCCACGGGGGCTGGGCCCAGTCAGATGCAGGGCTGCCTTGCTGCCCTGTCCCCACCCAGGGCCAAGCATTCATCAAGGAAGGCCCTAACCCTGCAATTAACCCTGTATTTGCCAGAGGAAGACCTTAGTCACCAAGGGAGGTCACCAGCCCAAGCCAGCTGGGCCCAGGTTGTCTGGGGCCTAGGCAGGGACTGAGAAGTAAGTGGCCCTAGAGGGGTCTTGCCCTTCTCATTTGCCGTGCCCAGGGTACTCAGTTTCCCTGTGGCAGAAATGGCCTTTTCTGGGGTCCACGAGTGGCTCAGGGGAGCCACAACCCGGTCTCCTGTGCCTGGGTCTCTCAATTCTTACTGCTGCCCGTCCAGGCCCAGGGCCAGTAGGGGCCCCAGTGACTGCCCCAGCCCCAGCCCCTTCTCAATGCAAGCCAGTTCTCTCCCTCTTTAATTAAATCTCTCAGGCAGCCGCAGAGGAATGTCAGAGCCTTATTACATTCCCCTGGAGGAGACTGGTTGGGGGACCATCCCCAACCTGGAGAACTGGCCCCTTGCCTGCCTCTACCCTCCAAAACCAAGGTGGCTCAAGGAAGCCTGCTTCAGCCTCCTCATACCCAGAGAGGCTGGAATGAGGAAAAGTGGGGGAGGCTCGAGGGCCTGGCCGGCCAGGCGGACCAGCCAGCTGAGGGAAAGCAATCCGGCTGACTCTGGAATGTGGAAACCGATAAAAGGAAGAAGGCTGAGCCCCTGTCCGCCTGTGGTGCACTCAGACTCCCGCAGCACCCTTGCCCGCCCCCAAACACAGCCCTGTTCAGTCACGCGCGCGCAGACACATGCCCACGCCAGACACACGCCCATTGGGCTGTGCTCTGACACACACACACACACACACACACACACACACACACACACACACACCCTCCCCCTTCTCCAAGAAATCTTGCAAATTCCACAGCAGTGAGGGGAGCTGGTTTTCTTGGCAGTGCAGAGCCTTGGGCTCCCTGGCTCAGGGAGGGACTCTTAAGGGGAGCTGAGGGGGGCTTATAGGAGGGGTCACTAACCGGGTTAGGTGGCACTGTTGCCCTTTCCAAGAGCTCAGGGCCTGCCAATGGTCAGGGATGCTTCTGTGGGACAGACTCACCCTAGCCTTCTCTCTGGTCCCCAAGGGGGCTGGCTGGCTGGCCTGCTGAGGTGGGAGCTGCCTCCTGGGCCCACCTGAGACACCATTTTCCTTTTCCCAGGAGCTACCCAGCTCAGGGATGGGGTTCATTTATAAGACCCCATGGGAACTCAACTATCTTTACATGGGACTTGTTCCAGCCCGGCCCCCCCCCCGCCAAGGCATTAGTAGGGGTGTCAGGAATGGGAGTCAAGAGACTGTGGACCCGTCTCCTGCCCAGGGCATCTCCATGCCTGCCGGAGGAGGCTTCCTAAGGAGAGCACGGGTCTGGCTTTTTGTGTTCAATCCCTCCTCCCCCATTTTCAGAGTGTGGAGAAAGCAAATGCCCTGGGACAGCAACCCCCCACTGACCCCATCTGACCCTCTGGACCCACAGGTCCCAGGGTGGCTGTTTCAGTCTGCAACTGGGGGAGGTGGGGACAGGCAGTGCCCAGGCCCCCAGCCTGGCACGTGTGTGCTCATCCCCCCTCCCTGGGCCAGATAATGGTCTGGAGGGAATCCAGCTGGGCTGCTCATTACCAGAGCCCTCTTCCTGCCTCTGACACTCTGTTTACAGAAGCTCTGGGGGCTGAGTCCCCTGGGAGAAGACAGCCAGCCCAGGGGACTGCTCTCCCATCCCCCCACCCGCCTGCTTTATCCCTTTTGGGCCTTGCCAACAGCTGGGCCCATGCTGGACTTCGCTACCCTCTGAGTCAGTTCAAATGGACCGCACTTGGAGGGCACCCACCTAGCTGCCCTTCTATGCTCCCAACACTCAAAGTCCAGCTGACTGGGAAGGAACCTTTAAATTTTAGTACAGTTACCCAGCCCCAGAAGCTTTAGGCCTGGAGAAGAGGGCTCTGCGTCCTCGTGCCTCTTCCAGAACCTCACCTGCCCTTGCCAAAAGGCAAGCGGGGGGGACACTGGGACCCTCAGGGCCATTTCTTCCTTCCCACCTTTCAGACTCCACCCCTGGGCCCCAGCAGGAGAGGCAGTCAGTGACCCTGGTGTGGTAATCTTTAACGAATGGGGGCAAGGCAGAATGGTTGGCACCAATTGCCTGGCCTGCCAG